ACCTAATTCTGCCCTTCCTCCCCAAGTGAGCACAATGGGCCCATGCATCCTGGGAATCACATCTCCTCACTGATCCCACCAGGACAGCTCTAGCCCAAAAGCAGGATCAGGCAGGTCACAGGTAGGCACGTAATCCAAGGCAGAGCACAGGGACACCCATTCCACTGGCTTCACTAAGTCCCCGAGGAGAATCCATGATTCAGGGGTCCCAGCCAGATAAAATCTCCCGCACAATGGATAGGATGAGCTTCAGGTCCCCTGGGCAGAGAGGCTGTCAGCCACCCACCTGCTCATCTCCAGCGCAGCAAGCTGGGCTGACCATCCTCTCTGCCCCAGAAGCCACAGCCCCACATGGGCCATGTATCCCCATGGCAGCAGAAGGTCTGCTGTGAAGGTAACAGTTCCTCAAGCCACAGCCCATCCCAGAGCTGCGAGGGTGCTGACCCTAGGAGGCTGGCCTCATGGGAAGCTCTTTGTCAACGGTACCCAGCCAGGCCCATAGAGCATACCAGAGCAAACTAGCAAGGAAGGAGATGGCCTAACCTCCAGCCTCAGGAAGCTTGGATAAGACACCTACTCTCCCCCTCACCGACTTTTTGGCAGGCAAATGACCAGACCCAGTCTTCTGTGCATAGTCTTCAGGGAGGCTGACAAGGTTCCCTGGCCATGTTATGCCATGGGTTAGAGGTCAAGGGCCAAAAGTCAGAACGTGGTACTTGGGCCAAGAGAGCTGGAGTGGGCTTTCCTCCTTCCAGCAGTAAAGTCCTGCAGACATGAGGAGGGACCCCAGGGAGGATAGGGAGGTGGCTGCCCCCACATCAAGAACCTCAAGGGCTTAGGAAAACCTTCCCACTTCTTCCCTGTGCTGTCCAGGCAGTCTCACAGCTCCAGATCAGAAGGATTTACCAGGCCCTTCTGAACTCATCACATTTCAATCTGGGCAAGTTCTAAAAGTACACTTTGGCCCGTGGAAGGAAACTATTTCCTTTTATGATCCATCAAAAGACCCCTTCCTGTTTCTAAGGGAAGCCCCCAACTCTGGTTGGGAAACAAAGTCCTATCCATCCCATTGCCTGCTTTCAGCCCTATAGCTCCAAGGCATGTTCCATTTTTTGCCACAGCCCCAGAGGGTAGCCCCCGCTTCTCTTGAGCTGACCCCCTGAAAACCCCCCAGTGGGGCTAAGGCCCAACAGCCAAGGGTCTATGGGGACCTTGCCAAGGTTACGTACGCAGTGGCCCAGAACCCAAGCATGTGAGTTCCCACCCTAAGCAGCAACCTCAGCAGGAGGCACATCACCTCCCAGGGTCACTCGTGGGGACCCACCTGGAACCTCAGAGTTGGTACAGAGATTATCTTAAGCTGCAGACATTTGAAATTCAACAAATGCAGAAAGAAACCTTCTCAGAGATCCTTACTGACTAACAGCTGGAGCTTCTAGGAAATAAGGCCACAAAAATCCCCTCAGGGGAATTTCCTGCCATAAAGATGTCTACCCTTGGAGCTTACATAATCAAACATCACCACAAATTTCCTCATCTCTGTCTGTGCTCCTCAAAGCCTGTCTGTCCTTCTCATTCTTTTCTGCCCTCTTCTCCTCTCCCCTTTTTTCCATCCTCAGTGAGGAATTAAGTCCCCAGTTTTAACCAACCCCTTCGTTACTTCCTGAGCACTCCCATTACAGGACGCTCTGGTAAATAAACTCTCTTGTCTGTCTTTCGTCAGTTTAATTCATAGGATCTCCAGAACCGAACACAAAAAGGCAAATGTTTTGTTCTCCCTGACACCTGGGTCAGCAGCCAAGCACAGCTCCATCCAGCACGAGGCCACCATTAGAGGGTGAGCTCAGAGTAGACAGGGCAGCTCCTCAATCGCAGCCCCATGGCTGACCACATAGGAGACCAGCAAGGGACAGCCCGTCCTCCACACCCCAGCTCCTACTTGAGGATGTGGAGGCCCCTCAGGCCCCTCCTAAGCTTATGGAAATACTGAAGTAAATGGGGGTCAAGTTTATCAAGCCTAACTCCTAGGGGACTCTTGAAAATGGTTCAAGTGATACAAAAGGACACCATGTGAAATTGCCCGTGGGAACCCTGGAATACTTTTCCTATATCCATGGATGCCAGCCACCTGCCTCTCTCAGATGCCATTCGCTGCCACATTTACCAACCCCGTGGCAGGGCTCAGATACTGTGCTGGGTTTCATCAGGGTTCCAGAACGGATCCGACAAAGCCCCTTCCCTGGAGAGACTCACATTCAGAGACTCAAATGAAGTGCAACCCATACACATATACACACAAAGACAAATAATCCCACTAATAGTAGTAAGACATCACAAGAGTACTCAATACGAGTTAGGTGCATGCTACATACTGTACATATCATCAGCCATTACAATGAACTCAAAAACAGTTACTATTGTGAAAAAGTGGGGGTGCTGAGGTGTCAAACATTGTAGCAGACACAAATCGGGGTTCCAGGCCAAGTCTGTGTCTCATCCCTCTCCTCCTCTGGAAAACCACCTGGCTCTTCTCTACCACACAGTGATTGGGCCAAAGGGTGATCATGTGACCCAGTTTAGGCCAAGCAGAGCTCTTCCTGGGAATTTTTGCCCGGGAACTGTAGGGGAAACCTGCTGTGTCTCTGGCCATGGATGTAGGCTGATAGGAGTCAACCTTGTGTTTCTAGTGGCCAGAATCTGTCTTGTAGAGAAGTCTGTCAGAGAGAATATGGATGTCACTGAGGGAAAGTGGCCTTAAAAACAGAACCCATGTAAGATTCCAGCTCCACTCTTACAACCAGCTCCAACTGTTCCTTACTGCAGTTTGACCCAGGAGCCCACAAGTTACCTTAAAGTACACAGAGCTGATTTTTCATCACTTGAAACTTACAGAATCTTCAGCAAAGACGGTCCCTTCGCTCAAGTCACAAGGCTATTTAAGGGCTGCCACCCCAGCATCCATTTGCATAAACTGTGGCCAGATTATGGACCCCAGGCAGCACCAGCAGCATCCTGCTGTTTTATTCTCTACAGATGCTGGGGGAAGCTGATGATTCTCAACTGCGCAGTTCCCAGAAAGAAAGGCATGGCCACTCACAACCACTCCATTAAAGTCACATCATTATCATCAACAACAAATTCCTGAGCGCTTCTGCTACATGATAAACCATGCTACGCCCTCCCTGAAACCCTCCATGGTAAGGGCTGTTGATGCTGTTTTAAAAGTGCAGATGGAAGCCAGGTATGCAGCACACCTAGTCTGCCCACCTATAATCCCAGCATTTGGGAGGCTGAATCTGGAGATCAATGACCCTGCCTCAAAAAACCAAAATAGATGGAAAGAAAGAAAGAGAGGGAGGGAAGAGGGAGAGAGAAAGAAGGGCAGGGCAGGGCAAAGGAAAATAAAAATTGAGGTAGAGAGGCTGAGGGTGTGGCGCAGTGGTAGAGCACTGCCTATCACACACCAGGCCCTATCCAATCTGCAGCACCTAAAAGCAGTTTTTAAATGAAATTTTTGATTAAACAAGTAAAAGCACAGAAGGGAACACTCAAGAGGGTTAGCAATGTCCCCCGCACACCCAAAGCCACAAAGACAGGAAAGAGAAGAATCAGAGTTGGCGCTCTCAGCCAATGCTCTACTATTCCCCTCAGCTCAGTATTACAATCAGTTCCATGCCAGTTAGAACCTCTGAACACTGCCCACTCTAGACTCTTTTAATTCTGTCGCAAACTGGGCCCCCGGGGAGTCATTGTTTGGTCTGTACGAGAAAATGGCCCGCCACCTTCCTCACTCCCTTCAAACAGGTCTGAGGATCCTAATCTTAAAGCAAGAAAGCCTTAACCTTAAGGCCACTAGGCCAAGGTGTGGCTGGAGCCTTTGGCTTTGTGTAAGCGTCTGCACACGCATGTGTGTCTTCTTGTTGGACTCTCATGTTCCAGAGGACTGTTCACTACGAGCCATTCACCTGGTCACCGCACCTGTAGCCTCGAAGCTGAATGGCACTTGCCCAGCTGCCTCCTGTGGATGTGGCACTGGCCCTTGCCCTCCATTGCTCACCTCCTTCCTGTGTAAACTCCACAGTGTCCCCGCTGACGGGGGTCTGATCCCACAAACCATCAGCCTTGGGAGGAACTGGGGTGCTGCCCACCCTCCCCACATCAGGCCTCAGTCTGCACTGTTTGCACCTTCAGTCTCACATCACCAGACTGGTCCCATCTTCCTCGCCCCCCCAGCCACAGGCACCAGGATGGGGGCATTTTCCGGTCACAGCAAAAAAGGCACGGGTGCCACCTCTAGTGATTTCTCCATTTTTCCTTCCCGGTCTCTGCCCCTTTAGCTCAAAGGTACCAACTGTGGCTTGTAAGTGTGTGTTTTGTTTAGCATTCCCAGCCATTTTTTTTAAACATTTACAAGTTGGAATATTCATTTAGATATCTGGATTTAAAGTTTCCATAATATGTGTTTTAAAACCGACCTTTAAAAAGGTACATTTCTGATTTTTCTTGAAAAAAATGGCCTTTCTGTAACAAGCACCCTGCATCTCTGCAGAACAGCAATTGGCGGCCATTCACACTGGCCAGGGTGTGGGCCTCACCACAGTCCCAGAATCCACCATGTCCCTCGTGCTCCTTGCCCACCTGGTCCCTGTGACCACCCAGGGCCCACACCAAGGTCGGCTCCCCAGCTGGACATTTTTGGCTGGGATGAATCTCTGGGACATCCCTTTAATACCAAGGCAAGTGAGGCTCCAGACTGTGCTTGAGTCAGGCTCTGAGCGTGTCCAAGCCACCATCCTCAGGATCCCGCTGACGGCCTGGGAGTCACCACCTTGGGTGGTTGTCAGCCAGCTTAAGCCTACTGGACCTTGGCACACTGCTGCCAAGGCTATGCACATGCTAAGGGGCAAGCTGTGACTCCCCGTGGACCTCTGGGAAGCACCAGCCTGAGCCATCAGCACTAGTGGCCCGCACAGCCCCGCCCCATGGCACAGGACACTCACGATGTTCATGAGGGTGAGCACATAGTTCTGCACATGCTCTCTGCCATGGAAGCGAACCACCGAGTCATCCACTGCTAGCAGCACCTCGATGTTGTAGCTGCTCGGCTTGGCGTGGCGCCGCTTCCGCTCCGTGTCGCCCAGCTGGTCCCCCACCAGGCCCAGCAGGTTGGGAAGGTCGCCCAGGCCGAAGGCTGGAACAAGATGGGCAGAGAGTGAGGCTATGATACTTGCAGCACTGGCTTCTAATAATACTCAGTTATCCAAGATCATGGGTCAGGGGCTGGCAACATAAAGGAATTGCTACTACACCTCCAGCCTGCATCAGGAGGTGGCTGCAGGAGGCCCCATGCTTAGCAGGTGGATGGTGGGTGGGCGACAAAGGGGCCCCACTCTTGAGTCCTCTGGCTAGTGGAGGTGACAGGTACAAAATCAGATGGTAGTTGTATCTGTAAGTTGAGGATCCCTTATCTGAAATGCCTGGGACCGGAGTTTTTCATATTTGGGGACATCTGCACAGACTTTGCCAGTTCAGCATCTCTAATCCAAAAATCTGAAGTGAGAAATGTTCCAAAATACAACACATTTTGAGTGCAACAGCTCCTGACTGCCCCAATGTCTGACAGTGAATGCAGCAGCTCAGTCAAATCAGGGGAGAAAGAAAGAGGGGTCCAAGAGGGAAAGAGAAGGGGCAAGGGCACCTTCCATGGAGTGGGGAGAATCAGTGACAGTCACCCCAACACGTGAGCAGTGCCTGGAAATCTAAATGCTGCAAGCAGAATACTGAACTTGACCCCTTGGAGCCATCCTAGCCAAGTTTGCCAAGTGAGGCTCAGCAAGGTTATGTGACTCACCCCAGGCCACACAGCAAGTTAACAGTAAGAGCCCAACCTGTAAATCCAGGTATCCTCTTCCTCTCTTAAGCCATATCAGGCCCCCACCCCGATTTGAGTCTCAGCAGACAGGCAGGGAATAGAGGATGAGTGGCGCTGACATCACCCACAGATGCTGGGGGTATCTTTCAGGCTGGGAGTAGATCACCCTCCAGACCAGACATGGCATGGGGAGGGGGCCCTAGTGAGCACTGGGACGCTTGGACGAGCCCACCCAAGGAGCCCCACAGGAATGTAAAATGATGCAGCTGCTTTGCAAAAATAGTTGGTAGCCCCCAAAGAATTTAAACCTAGAGTTACCATGTGAGCCATAAAGTCCACTCCTAGGTACACACTTAAGAGGTAAATAAAAATTTATGTTTGTTCACACAGACACTCAGAGCTGCATTATTTATTTTTTTTCTTTTGGTACTGGGGATTGAACTCAGGACCTTGCACTTGTGAGGCAGGCAGCAGAACCACTGAGCTAAAGCCCCTGCCCAGAGCTTCATTATCTTAACAGCCAGCCCAGAAAACCCCAAATGTGCACTGACAGATGAGTGGGCAAAGAAAAGGTGGAACCTTCACACCACGGAATATTACTCGGCCATGAAGCAAGTGGCTCCATCCCACAGAAGGAGCTTAAAAATATGCTGAATAGAAGATCTAGTCACAAAAGGCCATGTATTATACACTTATAGGAAATGTCCTGAGTAGAAAATCCTGAGAGAGAAAGTTGACAAATGGTAACCAGGGATCTGGGGAGGGGGACACAGAAGAGACAACCAATGGACAAGGGTTTTTTTGTGGGAAAAATAGAAATGTTTTGTTTTATTGCAAGATGAAATCTTGTTAATTCCCAGGCTGGCCTCAAACTTGTGATCCTGCCTCTGCCTCCTACATGCTGGGATTACCGGTGTGTCACTGTACTCAACAGGCAATGGAAATGTTCTGGGATTAGACAGGGGTGATCGGAAATATAGCAGGAAAACACTGCGTTGTCTACTTAAGCAGGGTTAAAATAGTAAATTTTTATCTCAGTTTGCTAAAAAAAAAAAAAAAAAAAAAGCAATAGCAACAGCCCTGGCCCTAGACACAGATGCCTTGACCACATCCAGCTGTGTCTTAGGAGTGAGCGGGGGAGAAAGAAACGCTATGGAAAACAGCCTGGGTGGAAGGACAGAGCAGTGTCAGGGCAGGGACACACAGAGCAGCTAGGAAGAAGGCCAGGGTGGCCCACAGGGGAGTTGCTGAGGTCCTAGGAGGCCCAGCCGCAGGAGTTTACCTCGAAACTCTGGGTGGTTTCATTTCATCATGCCCCTAAGGGCAGAACTGCTGAAGTCCTCCTCGTGTCCCCTCAGAGCACGTGTATGGTCTGGGTCTGTTGTGTGTATGCGTTTGTGTGTATGGAGTATGTGAGTGTGATGTGTGTGGGTGTGAGTGTGCAAGAGCATGGGTGTGTGCAGATGCACCTGAGTAGGGGCGTAAGCAGTGCGGATGTACAGGTCCATGTCTGCGCATGTAGAGACACAGGGTGTGTGTACTGGTGTGTCAGTGTGGCCGCATGGGTGTGTGTGTGACACACGTGCCCTCTTCAGGAAGCAGCATCCAAGGACACACCTGAGTCCCCAGAGGGACAGTCCTCTGTGCCCAAGTTCATGGCGTACACTGGACACCTTGCCTTGGAGCCAGGAGCCAGGCAGCCCCTCCACAGCCACAGCTGGTTAGGACACTGGACTAATGAAGCCCGATGCATCCTCCCCTCTCCCTGGAAGCTAGACAGCCCATGCAAAGGGAGCCATGGCAGTGTCACAAAGACGATGGCACCTTGAGGTCTGTCCTGCAGGGCCTCGCAGCTTGTGTGGGAGAAGGGGCAGCTAAGAGCATCCCAGGGCCTGAGGGACCCAGAGAGGGGACAGGCAGAGGTAGGTGCCCAGGCAGGGAGAGCCCTCGAGGTCGTGCTGCTGGGGGAGCTCAGCAGATGCCCCTCATGCAAGAAGCAGAGCAGAGCTGGGAGGAGGCTTCTTGCCTCCCTCGAGCTCATCACACTGACACTGGCACACTGAATGTTTCTCCAGCTGGGGCAGTCATTGTCTGATAGCCCACTGCTCCCAGCTGCCACACTGTGGCCCGGACTTGTCCTGGAGCTAGACCTCCCCAAGGCCTCACCTCACAGGGGAATTCATGGTCTTTTAGTTCAGAACTGGCCTCAAATCAAAGAGGACCCTCAGGAGACATCCTCTTCCCAGCCACAGTGGCAGGGTCTGTGGGCCCCAGCAGTTGGCTCCTGAGGTGAGTCCTCGGAGCATCTGCCTGGCCCCTCGCTCTCCACCCCCAGGCCTGCAGCATCCTCTGCGGCTATCTTGTGAGTGACCCTGGGGGAGCAGCTGGGGCAGTCATTGTCTTTGGGAACAACTAGTTTCCAGGCATTCCTTCACGGGACACCCAGCCCCTCAGGGCCCTGGCATGAGGGTGTGGCCCACTCACCACCAGATTCCAGCAGGCCCTCATCATGGCCTCTGAGCCAGAGTGGCTGCGTGACAAAGCTAAGACTGACTATAAAGCTGGCCACAGGCTCAGGACCAGCACCCACCACATGCACCCTTTTACTCGCTCAAGCGAGGGTCCTGGATGCCGCTGGTGTGTGGGCTGCCACACTATTCACCAGGGCCCAGGGCCACCCTGCCTTCCGGAGGCTCCCACCCTAACATTCCAGTGGTTACCCCTTAAGTATTATCCCAGGGCCTTGGCAGGAGACACTGCTTGTCCCACTTCACTGATTAGGAAAATGAGGCTCAGAGTTGTTAAGAAAGCAGTCAGTAGGTGGCCAGGTCAGAGGCAGGAATGAAGACGGTCTGCTGATCACACAGCCAACCCTGCTGCCCTGACACCAGAATCCCCATCCTTATGAATCCCTTCCAGTGGCTCCCACTGCTTGGAGTTGTGTAGGGGAAGAACTAACGGCCATCCTGCCTCTGCCTGCGCTCAGAAACAACACTTAAGAAGCAACACTGGGCCCCTCAGAGACACCTGGAGTCCTGAGAACCACAAGGCAGGACACAGATGGCCCCTCAGGTCGATGCTGGTACAGAAGCTCTTGTGGCCCAGTCCCATTATGCAGATGAGAAGATTGAGGTCAGCCACTGAGCGCTCAAGGCCAGAAGTCACCTTTGGGGTGTGCACAAAGGCAGCACTTAGGGCCTCAGCCCCAAGCCTACCTTCATTGTGAAGGTCGTGGTGAGGCTCTGTCCTGCCCCGCTGGATGGCTTCCCGGCGGTACACCACGTGGGTCCTCCCACCAGCCTCCTTCTGCCGCTGGCCCCGCTCCAGAGGCTCAATGAAGTAGTCAGTGCTGTCCGTGCGGATGAGGCCAGCCTGCAGGAGAGGACCGAGGAGCGGTGTGAATGCACAGTCCGTGACAGGGCCGCGTCGGTGACCGCAAACGTGTGTGACGGTGTAGGTGTCTCTGCTCCTCCTCCGGGCCTGGGCTGCCAGCCTGGAGCCCTGGGATGCCGGGAAGTGGGGGAGGTGGGGAGGGGGAGGGGCAGGCAGCTGAGCACCAGGCCCACCCAATTCCAGAGAAGCCACATTTTCTGTGCCTCACACTGGGGAGCACCCTATAAAATTTCATTTGAACAAAGGGTTCCATTGCTGTAAATGGAGGGGAGGCACAAAAGCCACCGCCACAAGGGACGTGAACACATCCAGGCTCCACATTCCAACCCAAAGCACGTCAGGCGGACTCAGCTTTGCCTACCAGCAGACAGGAGGGGAAAATAAACCCTAGTGGTAAAGGTTAAACACCCTGCAGTAAGTGCTGCCCCCTACTCTAATACAAACTGCCATTGTTTGAGATTTAAAGCACATGCGCGCACACCCCAGGGACAGCTGCACACCCCCAGGGACAGCTAACTACTGACCAGAAAGGAATGGGGGGGCTCCTGCTCTGTCCCCAATCTTTAATTTTTTGCCTGCATCAAAATACTTGCTTAAAAATAGGTGTTGGCCTTGGAAATAAAAATATAACCTTGGCCAAACCCAGCAAATACGTTGCTAGCCACTAATCAGGGATGTGTGTTGACACGTGTGCCTGCATTTACGTAGATGCTCATATACCTACACACGTCGTCTCTGTAAAGCGGAGAGGCGGCCTACCATCAGGCATTGAAAATAGTCAGCAATATTTAATAAATAAAATATTTGTTGAATTTGTTCACTCATTCAACAAATATCTCCGGAGTGCCTAAACATACCAGGCCCTGAGAGTACAGCTGTGAACACAGATCAGTGAATGAAAAAACATTTTGATAAATTGACCGGACTTTCTCCATTTCCATTTAACCAAGACAAGTTCTCACTATGTAAGCCTGAACTCTCTGTGTAGCCCAAGCTGGCCTCGAACTTGTAGCTCAATCCTCCTACCTCAGCCACCCAGATGCTAGATCACGGGCATGTGCCACCACACCCAGATGAACTCCCATTCTAAAGCAGCCTCTTCATGCAACTCAATCCTACCCATTTCCCCAGTTTGTCCTGTTCTGACCACAGAACATTACCAGTAACAGCCAGCCTTTTTATGTCTCTTCACATTTGATAATGAAACAGAAAATACCATTTTAAAAATCAAAATCAAGATGGGTTCTCTCAGTACCTCATCACAGACCCAGTTAGGAGGCCACAAAATATCCTGAGGAAAATGGCAGCATTATTGGAATGAGTCTGTGGCTCCCCCAGAAACCATTCTGTCAGTCAATGGTCTGCAGAAGTCCTGATGGAGTTGTTAAAATGCCAGCATCCAACTTTATACAGAGCAGAGTCACTCATTCAGCCAGAGCACTCTGACTTTATGCCTGCTATGGGCCCTTGGCAGGGAAAACAGCAATATAGAACTCAGCCTGTGGCTGTGCGTTGTTGCTCAGGATTAGAGGAGTCAAGGGTGACCTAGAGTCTCAGGGGCTGTCATAAAGAAAAGGCCTGAGTCAGATTCCTGGTTGCAAGGTCTAGAAATTCAACCCAAGCTCCCCAGGCCAAAGGGGAGTGAGCTGGCCCCACAACTAATCTCAGCAGGGGCAGGGACAGAAGAGAGGGACCCAAATGTGCGTCCCTGCCATCAGCTTCATCCTGCCTGATGAGACACAAGTCCCTGCACCCACAGGCATTTCCATCCTGCCACCAGACACCTTTCCTCCATAGTCCCACACACAGTCTAAGGGAGAGCTGGGGGAGATCCAGGCTGAGTCACACAGTCACCCTGGGATTGGCAGCTACTACTGGACCCTCACAGCCAGAGGAAAGGGTTGGCTGCACAGGAAGAAGGGAGAAGTTGCTAGGGTGGAAAGGGCAGGCCAGGTAGAGGCATCCCTTGGGCAAGGGTGTGGAGGCCGGAATGTGGAGGGTGCTCAAAGGCAGAAGCTGAGCACAGACAAGGAGGTATGGGCAGATCACTTAGAAGCTCCCAAAGGGGAGCATGCCACCCAGGATACAACAGCACAGAAAGTTCCCAAAGCTACAGCAGTTCTGTGGCTGGGAGGGCTTGTGAGAAGATCCTCAGGCAAGCCCCTCGCCCATTAACTCTACCCTCTCCTGCACCCATCTGCTACCCAAAAGGCCATTCTGGGACAAGCAAAGCAAAAGACCCTCTCAGCCTGGTCATCCAGCTGAGGTCAACCAGCCAGGTTGGTGTCGGGGTCATGGCCTGTGCAGTCTGGCCCCTCTCAAAGCATCCTGCAGAGGGGAATTCTCTAGACAGCAGGCAGAAGGCTCTGCTGGCCTCCCCCACACAGGCCCCCAGCCCTGGCCCTCCCCCATTCAGGCACTTAGTTAACCAGCTGCACAAAAAATATCCTTGACACCCAGCCCTCCCTGCCTCGCGGCTGATGACACCATGTAGCCTCTCAGGAAGGATGCAGGCTCCAGAGTGACGTGGATGGCACAGGGCTGGGCCGTAAACCACTGCCTTCCAGCACACAATCACAGAGCAAAAAGCTCTCAAGAGCACTGTGTGCCTCCCAGTCTGACAACAAAACTAGCGAGGGCACCCCTAACTTTTGCTTGGATGCCACCTTCCCTCACCCTCACAATGCAACATATTCTATGTAGGGCACCCCTAAAATTCACCAAGCAGAAATATATACTGCATCATTCCACACTTTATAGATAGTCTTACAATCCCTATTCTTAATGACAGTACCTACCACGTATACAGATATTATCGTACAGTGTTTCATCTTCCTATCCCTATGACATAGGCACTAACATGAGACCCATTTCATGGATGAGAAAACAGAAGGTCAGAGAGGTTCAGTAACTTTCCCAAAGTCACCCAGAAAGGGTCAGCACCAGAACAGGAGCCCAATGCTATGTGGCTCTAAACCATCACACCCTATCACTTTGGGTCATCAAGAGGCCCATTTCTGTCCTTGGGGCCACTGGGAGCAAAGAAACATTCCTTTCCCTGTCCCATTTGCAAATTCCTGGGCCACTGTCCAGTCTGTCCTGCACAGCAAGGATGTTCACATCCTATCTCTGCATGCAAGAAACCAGGACACAGGCAGCATGTGACCACAAAGAGAACAACCCTCCTCTACCCAGATGACCTCCCGGCCTAGGCTTAAAGGATCCTTGGCTCCACACAAACCCTCCTGATCACACCTTTAGCCTCACCCTCTCCCCAGGAGGGTTAAAGAATCTGCCTTGTCCCTCCCCAGCCTTGTTAAATGTTCAGCATAAAAGAACTAGACCCAGAAAACTGAGAGAGAAATTTCCAACTCTCTTTGTGACAGACAGCCCATGCACACACTCCCAGGGACTAAGGGCAAAATCTCCAAAGAGACTGCCCACACCCCACTTCGTGTTATGTCAGGCCTTGCCCAGGTCTGGGCCCTCAGAGAGATGAAAGAAAGGCAAGCTTGGCCCTCGCACCTGGCTCCAAAGTGTGACCCACCTGGGCAGCATGGGCCCAGTCCCTTCCCTGGGACCTCGGGCCCCTCCTTTGCACAGTGAGAGGTTTGGCCCAAGTTCCTCTGAATCTCTGCCCTGGCCAGAAAACCAGGCACCATGCACGGCAGACAGACTGGCAAGGAGAACCTTTTGGCTCCTTGCCTCCTCACTAAATTACTCCTGTCTCTCAATTTATGAGATGTTTATATTTCTGAAAAGTAGGGGCTAATTTTAAAGCTCTAAAATCAAATCAAATTTCTGGATAAGACATCAAGAAAAAGGCAGAAAATAAATTCTGGTAGTCTGGAAAATAAATATCAGCCCTATCTGTTTCCTCCCCTTCCATATTCTTTTGCAAACAGTACATAAGTGGGAAATATATACTAGAAAGGCTCTTCAAGCAATAAAAACAAAACAGAATCACTGATTATATCCAACGCAGCCACACACCACATGGGCCCTTGGCCAATCCCTCCACGTGGAAATTCTCCAGCGGGCAGGCACAGCCACCCCCGCCTTGCTCTAAACTCCCTTTCATGTGGCTGCTTTGGAGATGCCCTTAGTGGGAGATGTGGGGCTGGCTGGGGGGTGTCAGTGGAGGACTGTTTGAATTTTCCAATGTGGCTGGTGACAGCGTTTGGGTGGCAAAGACAACGACTTTGTTTCTTCATCCAAAGCCCTCCAGGCCACACTCTGAAGTTTTCTAACCTAAGTTCCCCTGGTGGAAGGCTCCTGAGTTCAAAGTACAATTCTAGGGTGCCTGAAGAAGACAGGTCACATAGCACCTGAAGAAGTGAGTGCCATCTTAGAAGTCACTTTGTGACCTGCCATGCACCTGAGCAAGCTTAGTTGATCAGCAGCAGTTGCCAATTATCTGGGTGGGGTTCCAAATATTTAGTGTTTAATTAAAGCCAAATTACTTTGAAAATTGTCTGTGCATGTATAAATGTGCTTATTCTCAACAGGCATTTGTGTGTATGTTGGCATGTGTGTGAGGAGGCAAGGGTACAGGGAGTCAACAAACCAATCCTGGGAGGCCACAGGAAGAGATGTCCAAGGAGTAAACGGAGCAGATGTCCACATGCTTGTCACTGCCCTGGCACCTGGTTCCAGCTTTTTTAAAACTTCACTGAGACCTCCAAGTATGACCCTCAGCTCACCTCTATCCCCCAAGTCCTAAGTTCCCTTGGACCTTCTGGTCTATGTGTACAATAATTCTCTCCCAAATACCCATGACTCACTAATTTCCCCAACTTGATCTCCCAGAGAAGCTCCTCTTGTCCTTGTCTGGCCCAACCATCCACCCACTCCATGGCTGCAACTGATGGAGACAAAACACACAATCACTGTGTTCATCAGCTTTCCACTGCTGGAATACAGTTCCACTGCTGGAACACCCGATGTACACAACTCAAAGGAGGAAAGAGCTACTTTGG